CCCCCCAAATCGGCGATATCAGCCCGTCGAGCCCCCCCCCAGTGATACAGCAGTCGGGAATTAGACACCTTGAACCCCACTATACATACATATATATATATATATATACATATATATATGTGCATATATATATATATATATATGTGTATATACCCTTAAAGGGTTGCATTGGATACCTAGTCTAGACCCAAGAGTATCCTAGAACAAAGAAACCAACAAAGTGAACAAGCGCCGTCTGTGGGTCCTAACTCTAAATCTAAGGGTAGTGACATGGTCCCTTAGCATGGGCCCCAAAAAGGGCACCCCTTACATACCCCTTATATACCATACACAACCCAAGGGCCCATACTTCAGAACCCTTTTAAAGAAGGTAAGGGAACGTATCAAGGGCCCATGACTTAGCTTTGGAGTAGACCCTGGAAAAAAAAGTATATACTTTTTAGGTTTAAGTAGCTATTATAGGAACCCAGAACCAAAAAAAAAGTATTAAAGTGTAGTACTCCAAAACCCAGATGAAACGACCCTTAGACTCACACCTAGGGCAGAGCGACGCCAGGCCTTGGGCGACTGGCCTATCGGAGAGCCTGTGGTCAGGGTTTAGGGTGTAGGGCTTATAGGGTTTAGGGTTTAGGGTGCTCGGGGTTTAGGGTTTTAGGGTTTAGGGTTTAGGGCTTAGGGTTTAGGGCTTAGGGCTTAGGCAGGTTTTGATGGATATAGGGCTATGGGGTTCAGGGCCACAGGCTTCCACGGCTTGTGTAGGGTTACGGGGCAGAAGGTGTTGTGTGTTGGGGGCTTTGAGGTATGGACACACACCCTAAACTCTAAACCCTAAGCCCTAAACCCCAGTTCGTACCCCTTTGTTGGGTGCAGACGAAGTGTGCCAAACCCCAACCCGTCGTTTAGGTTTTAAACCGAATCCCTGAGACGCCCTGAGCCCTATGCCCTGAACTCTAAAACTTAAACCCAGACTCCCAAAACCTTACCTCCCCATCTCTCAACCATAAGAACGAAACTAAACCCAACAAAACTTTTGGGCAACGGACTCTGGAAGCCAACAACCCCCAAACCCTCAAACCCTCAAACCCTCAAACCCTAAGACCCTCAAACCCTAAAACCCTAAAACCCTAAAACCCTAAGACCCTAAACCCCGAAACCCCTCAACCCCCTTTTGGGGCTCACCAGGCCTGGCGCGGTGGGCGCCGGGGACTTCCCTGGTCCCGGAGAACCTGAGCTTCTTGTTTAGGGTTTAGGGTTTAGGGTTTAGGATTTAGGGTTTAGGGTTGGAGCGAGGATGTTTTTTGTCAATGTTTCTGGTTTTTTTTATTTGTGTTTTTTTTGTTTTTCCTTGCTTTTCTTTTGGTTTTCTGAACATGCCCTCTGGTTCTGCCTATCCTCCTCCTCTGGTTGGAATTCTTTTCTGTGTATTTTCCTGGTTTTTGTTGAATTCTGCTGGTTTTCAGCTTCCGCAGGCTCCTCAGCGGTACCGCATGTCCGGAACCTGACCACATCTAATGACCCTTGGGGTAGCAACCCCGCCCCCCCAAAAAAAACATAATGCAAACATGGTGCTCGCATGATGGGTTTGGACGGGATTCTTATTGTCTTAAAGCAAGCTTGAGCGCCTTCAAAAAGCCGGGGGGGTTTGGGGCCCCCCACTCCCCCCCCCCCATTTGCAAAGCGATGTTCGCAAAATGAGTTTTGGGAGCGGTTCGTTGAACTAAAGACTAAAAGCACGCTTGCACACCGGGAATTCCCCCCCCCCCCATTTGCAGACACAATCCCGCAAGATGAGTTTTGCAAGGGATTCGTATGAACCAGAAGCACGCTTGGGCGGCTTATAAAAAGGCGGGGGTGTTGGGGGGGCGCAGCCCCCCCCCCATTTGCAAACACAATAGTTTTCAAATGGGATTTGTTTGATCTAACAGCTAGGCAAAAAACAACACCGGACCCCGGCTAGAGCCGTAATCCCTTACCTCAAACACTCAAACCCTAAACCCTAATTACAAACCTAAATCCTTCGGGTTTACTACTGCCCGGCCGCTGTGCCGAAGGGCGTTTGTTGTATCCTCACAGGTTCCACATACGGGTTTTGGGGGTCTAGGGTTTATGGTTTAAGGCGTAGGGTCTTTAGGGTCAACCAAGAACGTGAGAAGCGAGCGGAACCCTAAACTCCTTCCATCCTTCCTTTCTTCCTGTCTTTCTTTTTTGTTTTATGTATTTCGTTCGTGTTTTTCTGAATTTCTTGCTTTCTTGCTCTCTTTATTTCTTTCTCTCGTTCTTTATTTCTTTATTCCTTTCTTTCTTCCTCACTTCCTTCCTGTATTTCTTTATTTATTTTATTATTCTGTCTTGCTGTATTTCTTTCTTTCCTTTATTCCTCTGTTCCTTCGTTTGTTTTTTTCTTTCTTGCTTTCTTGCTGTCGTTGTTTCTCTCTTTCTTTCTTGTGTTTTTTTATTCCTTTATTTCTTCCTCCATTCCTGCCTTTCTTTTTTGCTTTTTCTCGTTCTTTATTTGTTGTCCTTCGTTCTTTCTTTTTTCTGTCTTTCTTTCTAGTCCTGCCTTTCTTTCTTTCTTGATTTTCTGTCTTTCTTTCTATTCCTGCCTTTCTTTCTTTCTGTATTTCTTTCTATCTTTCTTTCTATTCCTGCCTGTGCTTCTTTCTTTCTTGCAGTCTTTCTTTCTATTCCTGCCTTTCTTTCTTTCTTTCCTTATTTTTTCTTCCTCTTGCTTCCTTCCTTTCTGTCTTTCCTTGTTTCTTTCTTTCTTTCTTCCTGTCTTCCTGCCTTCATGCCTTCCTGCCTTCCTTCCTTTCTTTCGTGCCGTAAATTTGACAAAAAAAAAACAGGAAAAAACACAAAAAAAAACATAAAAAAAAAACAAAAAAAAACACGGTACCCTTTAGGGTTCAGGTTCACAGTTTACGGCTGGGGGTTCCAGGGTTTAGGGTTTTAGGGTGTAGGGGAATGGGTCTCGAGTTTTAGGCTTTTAGGGTTTAGGATTTCGCCAGGAGCACCTCTTAAACTACTCTGAGGTTTGTTTATAGGGTATAGGGTTTCGAGCTTAGGGCTTGAGAAGAAAGGGGCTTCAACTGTAGGGGTCTAGGAGGCCTAAACGAATTTTGTTGTAGACTGCCCAAGAGTCCTAGACACAAAGATCGGGGGGCTGGATTCTTAAGGGCTTGGGCGGGGGGGGGGGGGGCTTCGACTCCCAACCAGGGTTTGAGGGTTTGTGTGTTGTAGGGTTTAGGGTTTAGGGTTTAGCGTTTAGGGTTTAGGGTTTAGGGTTTAGGGTTTAAGGTTTAGGGTGTAGGGTTTAGGGTTTAGGGTTTAGGGTCCTTGAAGGATTTTGGGTCAAGAGGAGCCCGTGCGGCTGAATGGGCTGCGGGTTTTGCGGGTCTAGGGAGAGGGGGTTTAGGATTTAGGGTTTATGGCGGTCAAGAGCTTGGGATTCTACGCATTTGTGACAACCTCCTGGAGAAGGAAGTAGGCCCCAGCCCGACCCCGAAACCCCAATGTCCCCGAACCCTTCAACATTGGAAACTCCAACTCCCGCAGCCTTACATCAGCTTCAAGCATCAACGTCCGCACACCATTCTAGCTGACGCCGCCCCGAAAAAAAGACTCTAGGCTCTGCGCTCCCTACACACCCATCTCCTCTCCAGGTGGAGGTGTGTTTGTGCCGACCACCACTACCCGCCAAACAAAACAAGAGATAAAAATTAAGTACAAGCATTTTGGGTGGTCAGGGTTGAGGGGTAGTATAGGATCTCATACTATAACCAACATCCCTACAGGGTCAGACAAGAGGTTTCTACTTGACGGCTACATCAGCCAAAGCCCCACAATCCCATTCGCTTCCAAACCCTTCTTTGAAGCCCTGAGGCACCCCTTGAACCCCTTCAAGGATCTTTAACCCTGCGGAACACCAGACCCCAAAAACCCTGCAAATCATCCAAACCCTAAACCCCCTGAGCCCTAAACCATCCTAAACCATCCTAAACCCTCCTAAACCATCCTAAACCACCCTAAACCCTAAACCCTAAACCCTAAACCCTGAACCCTGAACCCTAACCCCTAAACCCTCAGCCCTGTCTCCAACTTGCGGGACGCGAGGCGGAGCCCGGCGGGCCCTGGCGATCGGAGCCCTACCGGAGCTGGTGAGGCGAGCCTGGAAGGCCGAAGCCGGCGAAGCGAGTAGGGTTTAGGGTTTAGGGTTTAGGGTTTCGGGTTTCGGGTAAGGGTTTAGGGTTTAGGGTCTAGGGTCTAGGGTCTAGGGTCTAGGGTCTAGGGTCTAGGGTTTAGGGTTTAGGGTTTCGGGTTTCGGGTTTAGGGTTTAGGGTTTAGGGTTTAGGGCTGGCACACGCACAGCTGGACGAACCACTCAGCAAGGATCCTGGAATCACAACGTCCCTCTTGAAAAAACACAACTTCTTCACTTTTAAACTAAGGCAACTAAGGTGCAACAGAACCTGGCACAAGCCAAACAGCAACAACATAACCATCCGCCACGAACATGGAGGGATTGATGCTCACAAGCCCGAGCACCCTCAGCCTCCCCCGGGTCAGAGCCCTTCTGATGCATCACGCAAATCAATGCACTCCTCTCATCAAGCTTGGAAACCAAGACATGTTTGTCTTGTCCTTGTCAACACGTCGCAGCACGTCGTATACTTTATCCCAACAACGAAGAGCTGCAACTGTAACACACACACACACACACACCAGGAGGCTAGCCAAGTTTGCGTGACCTTTTGGGTGGCATTCCATCTACATCGCTTCCGGGCTGCTGTTATTTGGGGTTTGGAGTGTAGGGTCTCAGCTACTCCCGGTCCACCGCGATGAAAGCACCATAACGCCCCAAACACAGACCATAACCCAAAACCGAAAATACACCTCAGTTAGATTTCTTCAGGAGTGTGCCTTAATTTGCCTTGATTCATCTTTTGAACCTGGGCACCCTAATTATGTCATCTAAACACTAACCTCTATGAGCTTCTTCACTAATGGATTCCGGGGCCCTCTGGCTGCAAGGCAGCCTGCAGGAAGTTGTGCAGGACGCGGCTAAGGCACTTCTTGGGGCGCTTTTTTGACAAGCCAGTTCTTGGGGCGAAGCTTGGTTGCCCAGTAACCATGTGATAATGAGGGGTTGGTCATTTTATAAGGGAACCTAGAACCCAGAAAAAGGAGAATAAGATGCAAAAAAGGGAACCACTGGGCTACCAGGACAGTTAGAGGTATGTTGGGCCTGTTTGTGCTTTAGCCTTGGAGATGCTGGGGGCCATTTTTCGAGTTCCTCCTAGTTAAGGTTTAGATCTTAGGGTTCCAGAGCTTAGGGCAGAGGTGAACCTCTCAACTCGGACGAAGCCTTGCCCCTCCCTCTCTGCTGAGGTTTCGTTTAGGGTCTTCGGTGAGGTTTAGCTCATCCCTTAGACTCCCAAAAAAAAGAACCGAAAATGCGGCCCCGCAGCATGGCCATGTCAATGGGAGAGATGGAGCCTCAAGCACTGCACCCTCACTCTCTCTCGCTTTAGCTCTCTCGCTCTCGCTCTCTCTCTCTCTCTGTCTCTCTCGCTCTCTCGCTCTCTCTCTCTCTCTCTCTCTCTCTCTCTTCTTCTTCTACCCAGCGAAGAGGCCCCCCAAGGAGGACCCCGGCCGCGCTGGCCCGCTGCTCTGTCCTCTCTCTCTCTCTCTCTCTCTCTCTCTGACTCGGGGTCAGCTGGTTTAGGGCGTGGGGTTGGGGTGTAGGCAAAGGTTTCCGTAGCCGGGGCCAGCAAACGGCAGTGCTCTTCGACTCGGGCCCCGCCGCTGCAGCTTTCTCGTGCAGGTTGCGGTCTTTGGTCCTAAACCCTAAACCCTAAACCCTAATAACCCTAAACCCTAACCTCTAATAACCCTAAACCCTAAACCCCTAACCCCTAAACCTCTTTTTGGGCTCTGACTCTTGGCACATGGCTGAGGGCTTTGGGGGCTTCAGGCTGGAAGGCCGGCCGAGAAGAGATGTCCGGCCGAACAAACAAACAAAAAGTAAGGAATACATATATATATATATATGTATATATATATATATGTGTATTTATATATACTTTTTTCTGTCAGACCTTCTAGGATTCTAGGCGGCCCTCCCCGCTACCTTTCCTGCTTTGGGGCAGGGGGTCCTTGAGGCGTTTTGTTGCCCGGAAAACAACATGGTCTTTCTTATCAGAGCAATATGGGATGATTCCATTTCTTGGGGGGGCGGCTCTTTAGCAAACAGGGGCGTCCTGCAAAAAATCAGGGAGTGACTTCGGGCCGAGGCCTGCTCCAGCAAACACCTGTGCCCAAACTCAAAACCCGGAGCCCTGTCAGTATGGCATTTATGTACTTAGTACCGACTTGCAGGCAACAAACTACCTACAGTTTACAGGAAGGAAAAACTCGAGCTGCTGGGCGTTTGGGAAGACATGGCGACACGGGTCACATGGGAGTTTACGAAACAAGGGACCCCTATCGTAGACCCAAAGAGTAGGATTCCCTTACAATAATGACCCCTAAAAGGTACCCCTGACTTCGGACGCCCCCACATGTTGCCAGGCTCCGGGCAGGAAGAGTCGGAGTCCGAATCATCCGAATCGTCCTCCTGCGAACATTGTCCAGGGGGGTTAGAGTAGTTTAGTGTGGAGATGCAAAGGTTTGGGGCATGTGGAGTTTGGGGGCTTGTGCCGGGGGCTCAAGACTTTTGAATGACATACCCGAGGGGGGTTGGGGTTTAGGGTTCAGGATTTAGGGTTTAGGGTTTGGGGTTTGGGGTCAAGTAGAAGAAGGCCTTGGCGAACTCCGCAGCTCAGAGCAAGAACTAGCCCACAACTGCCCCAAAGCTGAACAAGAAACCCTAAACTTGTTCCCCCGCATACCAACAGTCCTGAACAGGGATTACTGTATACTAGGGGGTACTATAATCCCGATTAAGGACTGTTAGTATAAGGGGCATCCCAACCGAAACCCTAAACTTGGGGTCTGTCCCTCTGCGGCGAGAAAGCACAAGGGGCTCAGACTTCTGTGTGGCCTTTAGGCAGTACCCTCAACCCTAAACCCTAAACCCTAAACCCTAAACCCTAAACTCTTGCTCATGACCGGGACCTCCAGCTAAGACACTCCTACATTTTGGGCTTCGAAGATTGGGGTACGCGATTTTTTTTTTTGGGGGGGGAGGGGGGGAGGGGGTTGGGATGTTCGCCCTGATACTAGCAGCTCCTTAATAGTGGCTACAATAAGGGGTAGCATAATCCCGACTAAGGACAGCTAGGACAAGGGGTAACATGCCCCAAGGTATATGTCCTTTTGGGGGGGGGTCATAAGAGGTCCCGAACTTCTGGGTGAACTATACCCAAGTCAGCCAAGAGGGGCCCCGGCCCCTCGAATGCAAAGTTGTTAGGGTTTAGGGTTTAGGACCTAACCCTAAACCCTAAACCCTAAACCTAAACCCTCAACCCTAAAAACCTAAACCCTAAACCCTAAACCCTAAACCCCAGTCCTTGGGCGGCTTGGGCGGCTCCATGTCCTTGGGCGCCTCCTCAGTGACACCCTCGGCCTCCTCGTGGGAGTCTTTCAGCTCACCAGGGTTACTTGAAGGGTTCTTATTAATCCAAGAATAAGGGGTTTAGGGTTTAGGGTTTAGGGTTTAGGGTTGAGGGTTGAGGGTTGAGGGTTGAGGGTTGAGGGTTGAGGGTTGAGGGGAACTGTACTTATAACCCAACTATAACCATATCAGGGCACTTAAGGGGCTTGTAAGTGGGTTATAAGTACACTTATAATTGGCTATTCAGTACCATGAACCTTCAAGCAAGGGCCATGATCCTCCACCCCGGCAGATTAAAGTCCCACTACCCTATGCACTACACGATTACGAGAGTGCATGTTCCCAATAGAGTTGGAACTAACAAGCACAAAAAAACATGTGGCGGTTAGAAATTGAGGGGCGGGGGGTGAGGATATGACTGAAGATGGAGGGTATTCGGGTTGTGGTTTCTGCGGAGTGGCAGGCTCTGGGAGCTAATGTTTAGGGCATTTTGTTGCCACCCGCTTAGCTGACGTGTTTGGGGTTTGGGGTTTGGGGTGCTGGCCATGTCCACCACCCCCACATCCACACCAATCCCCCACCTCGTCACGCTTGCGGCCGCACTTGCGGCAGAAGCGCGAGTCGTCCAAGTAGGTGTTGCCGCAAGCCGGGCAGGTGGTGTTCTGCCAGGGGGTTTGGTTTAGGGTTTAGGGTTTAGGGTTTAGGGTTTAGGGTTTAGGGTGTTTAGGGTTTTTAGGGTTTTTAGGGTTTTTAGGGTTTTTAGGGTTTTTAGGGTTTCTAGGGTTTAGGGTTCAGGGTTTAGGGTTTTAGGGAGTTCTGCCAAAAGGCTTTATCAGGAACTTTGGGTAAGGTCCAGCTTAGGCCTTGATATAAAGTCGCAAACCGTAAACCCTCAACACTGGCGGTTCATGGGGAGAGCTCCAGGCTGCTGTGTTTAGGGTTTAGGGGGCGTTCCCCAACTTCAGGGTTTTGTGGTCTTAAGATGTAGGGCTTAGGGTTTAAGGGTGCCACGCCTTTCGTACACTTCGGGGCTGACACCCAGCAGACTAGCTATGGCATAGTGAGGGTCAAAGGGTTCTTGTTGCTACTCCTCTCTCGTCTTGCGCTTAAACGTCTAGGGAGTGGGGTTCAGGTAGGACGCGGAACAGAAGCACAACACCACAACGCCCTCACAAGTAAGAAAACCAATCCAGCAGGTGGTTTTGTTCAGAGGCTATGGCTCTCATTCAAGATGCGCCTGTCGCAGCCAAGAGCAGCCCTTTGAACAAAGAACACAACATTCAACGTAGGCAACCATTGCGGGTTGCTTCAAGCTTGAGTCACCTCGTAAACTATCTTGCAGAACAACACACCCGCCATGAAGAGAAACGGTCCATTTTAAGAGACAAGGATATGGTTGGCATGCTATCCACATGATAATGCCTGTACTTTGTATGTTTCTTTCCGATGAACCCCAAGGGTCCATGTACCAGTATATTCTCGGGCCTGAAGCTACACGGGAACCTCCTTAAGGCCCCAACTATTTGCTACATGGGTACATGGACCCCTTTTGCGCCCTAACCCTTAAACCCTAAACCCTAAACCCTAAACCCTAACGACACTTGGGAACTCTACTGCTCCGAAGCCAACCGCGCGTGCGGCGGATGCGGAACGTGGCGCCTTGGCCTTCGCGGGCTCTGCGGCGGCCTGAGACGTCTTGTGTGCCGTGCTCTGCACGTTTAGGGCTGACAGGGTTTAGGGTTTAGGGTTTAGGGTTTAGGGTTTAGGGTTTAGGGTTTAGGGTTTGGGATTTACCCTCTACAAGCAGCTCCTAGAGCCATCTAGGGCCTGGACACCCACCTGCCAGAAAGAGAAATGCCCTGCAACGACCGCGGCACAGCAGAATCCCTCGAGTAACCCTTGCTTCAGTTCACACATCGGGGGTCCTCCCAAATAGTTATATCTTGTTCGCAATACTAATTATCACCCAATATCAGAGTACTGTAAGGCGGGAAAGTGACCTTTAAAACCAATATTTTGAGGGGACTCATAAATTTCATAGTAAGTCTTCCATCCCTTACAGTTATATGAAAAGAAAAACCACACAACCCAACAAAAAGACTGAAAGACAAAAGATAGAACGAAGTGAATTCCGCGGGCGCTCTTGCAGAAAATCCACAAAGAAGATAACCGCAGAACATGGATTGAATGTTGACGAGCTATGCGGGGAACACAACATCCAACTTCTGGACTTCTAAAAAGCCCAAAGTAAATTCAATCTACAGTCGACCGTAGAATAAGATCACCACTCTCTGACTCAAGGCCTCCTATCCTCTGCTGGTCATCGCCTTTTCCTGAAGGGTTACCGCACGCTACCAAAAGGGCTCACAATGCACCCTCAACTCCTGAACCCAAATGCCAGGTGACTTGGTCCGCTTGGGGCTCTCTCGGCGCCGGCTGTGGCCTCAGGCATCCAGAAGCAAGAGTTGCGTCCCCTGCCCAAGCACCAGGGTTTACGTAAACCCTAAACCCTACACCCTAAACCGTAAACCCTAAACCCTAAACCCTAAACCCGACACCCTAAACCCCAAACCCTAAACCCTAAACCCGCTGATCTGGGTGCTCCATTTGCTTTGTGGCTGGCAACGCTTCAACAGACTTCGCCAGGTTTCTAGGTGCTCCTGTGGTTCCGCAAGACTATGATGGTATTCGCCTCCGGTGGCTGAATAGTGTCTTTAGGGTTTAGGGTTTAGGGTTTAGGGTTTAGGGCAACAGTTCGCAAGCCTACGAGCAAGTTCATTTCGTGACGACATGCTGAAACGGAGCAGAGAGAACTCACCCAAAGTATCAGCAAGGCGGTGCCGCGTGAGACTTCTGTGCCCTGTGCATGGGCAGGTCAGGCTGTATTCCACACTGTATTCTAGGATCTCTCGTAGTGTCGCCAAACTCGGCTTACGTTAGACTTTCCGGCGGGGCAAGGCGGAGTGGGTATATGTAGTCGTCAATTTCGTGATTTCGGCCGCATATTGGAAGCCCTCCAACACAACACACAAACGAACGGATCATCAAGGCAAGCGTTCCGCACGCTCCTTGGGGGGGGGGGGGGGGGGGCCTCAACTGCATGAGCCATCCACAACGCGGCTTGCACTCACCATGAGACTATCCTTCTAAGGCCTTGGGCCTTTGCTGCCTCAACCCTAAACCCTAAACTCGAAACCCTAAACCCTAAACCAAAATCCCACTTTCAAGGGCGCCAGAACCCGCCAAACCCTGGCTGCGCCCTCCCCATCCACCAGGAAGCGGGCTCGGTAGGATCCTCTTTGCCGGCCTTGGCCAGACAGTTCACTCTGGACGTTTAGGGTTTAGGGTTTAGGGTTTAGGGCTTCCCCAAACCCTGAACCCGGTACCCCAAACCCTTTTTGAAGCAGGCGTGCGCGAGTCCTCGCCTGGATCAGTCCATCGCTCTCCGAGCTGACAGTCACTAGCTCAAATTACGGCACATATGTATATGTATGTATACATGTGTGTGTGGGCGAGTACATATATGATATGTATTAATATTAATATATAAATATATATGAACATATTTGCGTATACACAATTATCTCTCTCTCACTCTCTCTCACTCTCTCTCACTCTCTCTCTCTCTCTGTCTCTGTCTCTGTCTCTGTCTCTGTCTCTGTCTCTGTCTCTGTCTCTGTCTCTGTCTCTGTCTCTGTCTCTGTCTCTGTCTCTGTCTCTGTCTCTGTCTCTGCTCTGTCTCTCTCTCTCACTCTCTCTCTCTCTCTCTTTGTCTCTGCCTCTGTCTCGGTCCCTATCTCTATCTCTCTCTCGCTCTCTCGCGCCGAGGCCTCTCATTCCTGAACCCTACCAAGCAAACTCTATACCCTCAATCGCAGGGGGACGGTACCGCCTTTCTTGTGTGGAATCCCCTAAATTGGCCCTAAGTCTTCACACCTTAAATACACAACCGGACCTCTCCTCGTTGCCGAGGGGCCTCGTCGGCAGGCGCTGGGTCTGCATTTTCGCCTGAACGCTTTTGAATATCATCTGCGGACCTTTAGTGGAAGTGTTTTTGGGGCTCTCTGGGGATTTGGGGGATTGAGGGCTTTTTGAAGCAGCAACCCCTGCAGAGGCTTCATGGCCCATGCATGGCATTCAGGGCTGATAGGGTTTAGGGCTGATAGGGTTTAGGGTTTAGGGTTTAGGGTTTAGGGTTTAGGGTTTAGGGTTTAGGGTTTAATGTTCTACACCCGGCTCTATCTGGGTTTAGCATGCCGGGCCTGGCTGGAAGGTTTAGGGTTAACCTTCATCGGCCAGAGATTTGCAACATGTGCCCCCTACCATCGCTCTCCACCTCTTTCGCCCCCAAAAGAAGCTTTCAAGGCCCAAGGGGGCCTGCATTGCCTGGCTCCTCCATTGTCTCCTCGGCTTCCATCCTTCGGCTAAGCAAGGCAACTTACGGTTTAGGGTTTTTTTTTAGGGTTTAGGGTTTAGGGTTTAGGGTTTAGGGTTTAGGGTTTAGGGTTTAGGGTTTAGGGTTTAGGGTTTGCCACCCGAATGCGCGGTGCAGCAACTAGCAGGAATCAGCGCGCCTGAGACAGACAACACACAGTAAGAACCCTAAAGCCCAATACGTTCAAGCAGCCCAGCGCTCGCAACATGCCCGAAACGACGGCACAATCATGACACCGCCCCAGAATACCCCCCTGACTGTCCCTGTGAGGAGGCCCCACGCATTTGGTTTAGGGTTTAGGGTTTAGGGATTAGGGTTTAGGGTTTAGGGTTTAGGGTTTAGGGTTTAGGGTTTAGGGTTTAGGGTTTAGGGTTTAGGGTCCCCCGCAATCTGCCTATCAGCATGGGTAGACAAGCTCAAGCTCAAGCTCAAGTCCAGGCAGGGCATTCTGGACCCTTAGTTTAATGGTTTGCCGAAGCAAAGAAAGAGCATTCCTCAGTTGATGAGATCGGAAATCTAGCGTTTAGGGTTTGGCTAATGAAATTAGCCCAAACCCCAAACGCTAGAGTTCCGATCTCATCAACTAAGGGGTGCTCTTGCTTTGCTTCGGCGAACCACTACAGGGAGCGAACTCCTGACATTGGTGACTATGTTCTCTCTCCTGTAGTAGAGTGGATACCTTCAGAGTGCCCTAGCCCCTAACCCTAAACCCTAAACCCTAAACCCTAAACCCTGGAGTGGGTGGCTTCTTTTCGGCTCCGATGCTTATGCAAGCCCGAGCTGCGCGGAACAGTCCAGCAGTGAGACTCAGACATCTGTTGACCGTTGACATCCAGCCATAGCTTCTTTGCCTAAGGGTTTAGGGTTTGGGGTTTAGGGTTTAGGGTTAGGGTTTGGGGTTTTGGGTTTTGGGGTTTAGTCGGGTTTAGGGACATCCAGCTATGGCTTGGTCCTCGTGTAGATATATCCTGAAGTGGGTGGCGCTTAGGGCGAGATCTCGCCGCTGACTAGCTGCCCAAGTCCAGACGCATTCAGATGCATGTTCAATTGTTTGCATGCCGCGTAATCTGGGCTTCTCATGCACTTCAGGGGGGGCAGAGGTGATCTAATCTTATCAGGTATAGGGCTTCGGCAAGGCCATGATCCAGAGTCCACACGACGACAGCCTTGCTACACGCAGGACCGGGAACATCCCACAACTAGACCCAGGAGTAACCCAGGAACAAAAAAGGTGCCCTTTTTGGTCTTAAGGGGATTACAAGGGACCTCCAACCCAAACCTGGAAATCAGGGCCTACTCCGGGTCCTAGACAACTACCTCAACCTCTGTTTTAAATCAGGGCTCTGGGTTTACAGTTTAGGGCTTGTAGCTCCAGCTAAACTGGCTGCCTCAGACTGCCAGCTCGGATGCCAACACTACGTGCTAATCTGCTGAGGCGCACCTCTCCTTTGTGTGCGGAAACTGCACAGGCAGCAGCATGAAACTCAGGCGATTGCCCGGCGCATTCAGGGTTTAGGGTTTAGGGTTTAGGGTTTAGGGTTTAGGGTTTTGGGTTTAGGGCTTAGGGCTTAGCATGCAGAGGGCTCGTCTTCAGGAGTTTCACTTGCAAGAGGGCCGCGCAATCCGCCTTGAAATGAACTCCTGAGTCCACAACGCATGGATCCCACGGTCGGCAGAGAAGGGGTGGGTCTCTCTTTGGGGTTTAGGGTTTAGGGTTTGAGGTTTAGGGTTTAGGGTTTGGGGTTTGGGGTTTAGGGGTTTGAGGTTTAGGGTTTAGGGTTTTAGGGTTTAGGGTTTAGGGTTTGGGGTTTAGGGTTTAGGGTTTAGGGTTTAGGGTTTAGGGTTAGGGGTTTAGGGTTTGGGGTTTAGGGTTTGGGGCTTAGGGTTTTTTTAAGGCTCGCCTTCGGCTCCTCAGAGGCTGTTGAGTGGCGAGCACACCCTCTTGAACTCTGGACAGGCTTGAGCCCGGACTCGTGATGTGAGCCGGCCTTTTGAGTAAACCCTCAACCCTAAACCCTAAACCCTCAACCCTAAACCCTAAACCCTAAACCCTAAACCCTCGAGCCTGACCCTAAATCCGAAACCCCAGTGGAAGCAACTTCACTCGGACGTATAGGACAGAAGAGGAGGGTGATTTTTGGGCTACTGAAGCAGACTAAACCCTAAACCCTAAACCCTAAACCCTAAACCCTAAACCCTAAACCCTAAACCCCAAACCATCATGGGACTCTACCTTGGACCTAGAGTTCAAACGGGTACCCCGTTGTTGCTTAAAAAGATGTTTCTTGCTACTTCTTTAGGGTTTAGGGTTTAGGGTTTAGGGTTTAGGGTTTAGGTCTACTAAGGTAGGCCGAGAACAGGTTGCTGGGTCGTGGCTTCCAACGCAAGGGGATCGACGCCCGGACGCTCCGTTCGGAAAGATGCCGGGCCTCACAAGGCTCCGAGCTCCAGTCGGGGGATCAGCAGATTCTGGGGTAGGGACAGATTCGAAGTTACTTAGTATGGGCCCTGAAATCGGGACCCCTTATATACCCCTTATATACCCAAAAACAATTAAGGCCCCAGACGTCAGAACCCTTTGAAGGAAGAAAGGGACCATTATTAAGGGCCCCTGCAACTACCCTTCGGCTGGTTGCATCCCAAGATCAAGGAACTGCAGGGCAACACCACTGCCGCGACTCTGAACCCTGCAACACTTGGCAAGCTGCTCCCCCCAAAAAACTCCCCCCCCCACCCCCCCCCAAACCCCAAAATAACTTCCCTGCCGGTTACACCTGGAAGCTTTGGAAAATAGTTCTTTTGGGGTTCGTCATGACTTTTTTTGAAAGAAGCCAGGAAGCTGCTCCAAACTTGCTAAACCCTAAACCCGTAACCCTGAAGCCTAAAGCCTAAAGCCTAAAGCCGAAACCCTAAACCCTAAACCCTAAACCCCTCCCCCCCCCTCCGCGGTCAATTCGGCCTCGAGCCAGGAGCGCTCCTGGGAAGGAAATGTTGGATTGCTCAAAGGGGAAAGGGGGTTTAGGGTTTAGGGTTTAGGGTTTAGGGTTTAGGGTTTAGGGTTCAGGGTTCAGGGTTTAGGGTTTAGTGTTTAGGAGAATGCAAGTAGAAAAAACTTGGTTAAAGGCATGGTAGAATTGGGGCTTCGGACTCTGGAAGATCGAGCCCACACCTGCGCCCTATGCCATCGCTAATCCGACCGAACCAGCTTGGGAGGATTTTGATTGAGCAAACGCTAAACCCTAAACCCTAAACCCCAAACCCTAATGAAGACTTCGCAGGCACGGGGGCCCAACTTCGCGCCACACGCAAAGTCAAAAACGAATGCCTCTGTAATTGAGGCTTGGTGCCACCAAAGGACAAGCTGAAGCCCAAGGACCCTAAATCCAAACAAACCCTAAACCCTAACCCCTAAACCCAAGCCCAAACTCTAATCCACCTTGGTTCCTTGTAGAGCCCTCTTTGATGGGACGTCAAACAGGTCTTATTGCATTTTACGAACACGAAACGCTTCAGTTCTTGCTGTGTGTGAAAGGCTACTGCAGGTTGGCCACGCAAAAACCTTCTGAGTGATACTCCGAAATAAGCGAAAGGAAAATATCTCAGAAGGGTCAAAGGACAAGGTGGGGTTGTAGGTAAGCCTCTTAAAAACTTATAAACCATATGGGTTCACATACAACTTGAGGGAGACTACCATAAAACTATTCTAGAATGCTAAACCCCAAACCCAAACCCAAAAACCCTAAACCCTAAACCCTAAACCCTGCTACCCTAACCGCTAACAGCTGCAAAGTCTCAGTTCCGCCGCGAGCGAGGGGAGTTGCCGATGCCCTGCTCGAGCCTGAAAGCCGCTCTTGGGTTCAGGTGGCCACTTGCCTAGCCTGGTTAGGGTTTAGGGATTGGGTTTAGGGTTGAGGGTTGAGGGTTTAGGGTTTAGGGTGTAGGGTGTAGGGTTTAGGGTGTAGGGTTTAGGGTGTAGGGTTTGTAGGCTCAAGGGCAGCAATGAGTGCTTTGCATGTGACGCCAGAGGGGGGAGGGGAGGTTGGGGTATTTTGGGGTTGAGACAAGAAGCTTAGGGCAACCAGAGCGCTTACATCTCGGACGAGCATTCTGTTCGGGCTTCTACAGGATTAAGGCATGAAGACTTGCAACGTGTTCCACAGAAGCGGGCTCAGGGCATTTGACCAGCCTTGCAAAACTGCAACTTTGCGGGCATCTTCCCCCCCCCTGTAAAGAAGGGCCTCCAGATCTGGCAAAGCCTGACAAAACCCTAAACCCTGAACCCCTCAACCCCAAACCCGAAAGCCCGAAGCCCTAAACCCTAAACCCGACAACCCTAAGCCCTAAGCCCTAAGCCCTAAACCCTTTTGCCTTAACCCTAAACCCTAAAACCCTAAACCCTAAACCTCCTTCTTTGCTGTTCGGCTCCAAGGCCTTAAGAGCTTCAGGGCCTCATCTCTGCAATTCCACACGTGAGGCCAAAGCCGTTAGGTTTGGGGGGGGCCCTATAAATACTTAGAGCTTTCATGGCTTTGTGAGGTTTGGGGGCCCTAGAAATACTTAGAGTTTTCATGGCTTGATAAGCATTATTTAGGGAGTTTTCATGGCTTTATAAGGATTATATAGGGAGTTTCATGGCTTCATAAGGATTATAAAGGGATTTAAGGGTAGTAAACAATCAAGATTATGTTCAAGCCTACCCCTGTCTGCCACACAGGCTGAAGCCTGAGATCACGATGCATGCGCAGTGCCGGAGAAGCCAAGAAACTGGTTGGCGAAGCTCTTGATCATGGTCTGCACTGCCTCGAACTTCTGCTCTTTCGTGTCCATCTTGCCCATGTAGTGCCGGCGCACGTGCTCCGTCCTGCATGTGGGATGATGTCACTTGGAAGCCCCAAGTAGGGTTCGTAAGTTGGGTTGTGGGGGTTGTTACAGGGTTTCCAAGGGGTACTAAGTAGACCGACCAAGTGAAAAGGGCTTCCAAGC